TTTTTTTGTTAAGTACATAACTCCACATGTGTTCATTCATAGTTTTGATGCCTTCAGTGAGAATCTACAATGTAAATATTCATGAAAATAAAGAAAATGCATTGAATGAGAAGGTGTGTCCAAACTTTTGGCCTGTACTGTATATATATAAGTATATATATGGTAGTATATATGGGTAGTCGAGTTATCTAATGGAAAGTGTCACATTAGCTTAAGTTATTTGGAGCCATTTTTCATCAGAATGAAAGGACATAGCGTGAATAAATAGTTAGCACTGACGCCTCACAGCATGAGGGTCCTGGTTCAAACCCAGGGTGGGGGAGACCTTTTGCATTTTTCCCCATGTCCCCGCGCGTGGGTTTTCTCCAGACACTCCAGCTTCCTCCCACAGTCCAAAGACACGCAGGTTGATTGGTGACTCTAAATTGCCTGTAGGTGTAAATGTGAGCGTGAATGGTCTGTCTCTATGTGTCAGCCCTGTGATAGTCTGGCAACCTGTCCAGGGTGTACCCTGCCTCTCGCCCAATGTCAGCTGGGATAGGCTCATTTCATTGAAAGACCCCCAGTGGCAGAAAATACATAATGTGCATTAAAAGACTAAAATTAGGCTGAAAATAAGGACATTAACACCGAAAACACCCAGCGGGGGCAAAGCATGTCCTGTGGCGAACTGCCATGCAATGACTCTGGGAAGCAGCTGCAGACGTTTGATTCTATGGTGAAGTGCAGCCAAACTAAAAGTTGGGCATAGTTAAATTTTTTGAGGCTAATTGCAGCCAGAAAAAAGCTGCAGCAAATCAGTAAACAGAGTCCTGTGACACCTGTTACATGTTGTCTATTGTTGCAGAGACTTTTTTCACTCCTGAAACACATGGCCCCACCTCCCGACTATAGGAAAATGTGAATATTGTGGCAAGGTGCACTTTGGTACTGCTTGGTGTGTTTTGGACATAAGGTGATACATTCTATTTGCCAATGTGGTCTGTTTTCACAGGGTTTTCAATAACCATTTTAATTACATTAAAGCATGACTGGATTTAATGAATGACGAGCATAGTTAAATGCATTGAATATCTTTCCAGTTATGTTCTCTGAAAAGAGCCCTCTGGTAATAACAATAATAGATTTAGAATGCCCACTCGTTGCAGCATGTTGTTGCAGGGTTTATTTAATTCAACACATCCACTTGCAATATTATTATATTTCATCAGTTTCCTCCACATTAAAATCAATGTTAACTGTGGGTGGATGTATCAAATAATTTTCACACGGTCGAGTTTCCATCTAGAGAAACATAAGAATTAAACTCGCAATCCTGCGTCTGCAAACAGCAAGCGAATCATTACTGAACTGCCCAAAGCAACAGCAGAAATACTCGGAGGGATTGATTGCTCTATCTTCCTGCTGCCAGATGAGCAGAGAGGCAGGGAGAGACAGAGGGAGGGACACAATGAGGAAGAGAACAAAGATAAGAGGGTTTTTAAAGGCTTTGGGGTAATTGAGTTTCTGTTAGATTTAGTTCAGGGTCACAGAGTCTGAGACGCACCTCCAACACACAGACACAAACACACATTCATGCACACAACACACTGACCTGCCCTGGTCAATGTAGTCCACAGCCAGTGTGCTCAAACAGAAGATGACAAGTACAGCGATGAACATGTGGTAGATGGTCCTGATGTGGTTGATCTCAAACAGTTCGCTGATGAAGAGGAGGAGAACTGTCATGAATACAGCTCCATGGTTTATTCATGTGTTGTGCTGTGTACATGGTTTGTATTTGAGTGATTTGGCACATAGTCATGGGGACCACGTAAGCATTGATCTCTGTTGTAGACTCAAGCTGCATAAGCACAAGCTGCATAACTCCTCTCAAGCATACCATGCCGATATCCATATTTCTCAAACATTTTCAGCTGTCTTGCCCTCATTAGGATGGGTTAAACTGTTTTTTTCTTTATATACAGTTAGTCATTTAGTTAAGTGACTTTAACAGATAAAAATTACAATAAGAACAGAACACACAAAGGGGGTTAAAGGTCCAGTGTGCAGGATTTAGAGGGACACATTGGCATGTTTTCTTCAGTGTACAATCACCTGAAAATAAGAATTGTTGTGCTTTTGTTATCTTAAAACAAGCCGTTTATATATACATAGGCAACAGGTCCTTGTCCATGGAGTCTGTCATGTTTCACCGCCATGTTGTTTCTGCAGTAGCCCACAATGGACGAACCAAACACTGGCTTTAGATAAGGCCGCTCGAGTTTTAATGTCAGCCACCATAATTAGCAGCCCTTCAATGATGAGTGTTGGAAAAACACTTTTTTTAATGTGAAACTTCTTTCTTCAGTGTTCTTACCAGTTTAAATAACCGGATCTGTTTATTTTGAAGAGAGGGGGAGACCTGTGGATAATTCGGCTCTTTATAAAAACCTCTTGGACGTGGGGCGTCGGTGGCTTAGTGGATACAGCAGGCGCCCCATGTACAAGGCTGTTGCCGCAGGGGCTCGGGTTCGACTCCAGCCTATGGCCATTTCCTGCATGTCTCTCCCCCTTTCACACTTGTCTGTCCTGTCAATTAAAGGCTAAAATGCCCAAAAAAAAATCTTAAAAAAAACAACCTCTTGGACAAGTTACCAGGCAAAAAACATGAGCACACATTAGTAGGTGCTTGGCTAGTGGCCCATCTGCGTCAAAGAAACACAGATTTGTAACATGAAACTTCTTCATTCAGTGTTGTTGCCAGTTTAAATCACCAGGTCTGTTTGTTTTGAAGAGGAAGAGCCCTCTGTGGATAATCCCGCTTCCTGAATGGCTGGACCAGAAATAAGGTGAGCACACAGCATCAGAAAAAAAAAAGATTTGTGATGTTTTTTTTTAAAGAGTTTTAATCACATAGTGTGTTTGTTTTGAAGAGGAAAAGACCTCAGATCCTGTCAATTAAAAACCTGGATGCCACTAAACCCCCCTAAATCTTAAACACTGCTCCTTTAACTTTATATAGTGCACATGAAAAAAGTACTTGTCATAAATCTATTGAAACCCTGAAGACAACATGATAAATGTGCATATATTTATATTTATATGGTGTATTGGAGAAGACTTGCTTAATTTCGATGGACTTGTTTTTCACACTTACTCCAACAGCGACGGTCTGGCCATGAACACTTTGCCATCATCCATTCTCTGAGATCTACAACAAACACAGAAAAACACAAATATATATATTTTGCCGCAGTTAATTAGAGAATAATATCTCTTATTAAGATAATTAAGGAATAATATGTGCACTAGTACATTTTTCCTTCTACTCCTCCTAAACCCAATAATATTCTCTGACCTTTGTCTGTCTGCTGCTGGCTGTTCTCCAGTGCATATTCTTGTTCTCTCACTGCTGCTGTTCTTTGTTGCTTTGCCTGTTTGTCTTACTGCTTGTGTATGCTACTTTTTTCCTGTTTGCTGTATTGCCTGACACTTTTTTCTTCCAGCTACCTGCCCCCATTTACTGTATGTGCTAGTCTGCATGTTGTCTATGTAATGCTAACATGCGGTCTGTTGTGATGGTATGTAAGTAATGAGATGTATAAGAGGCTTTGCCTTTTGCCAGGGCCCCATTGTAAATGACAATTTGTTATTAATGACTTGCCTGGTTAAATAAAGGTTAAAACAAATCCAAAACAAACCTGGATGAGGGGTTTATTGTCGTCTTTCCATTAACTGTTGGCTGTAGTTGGGTAAAAGGCTGGACGGACTCAGTCAGTGCTTTGTCCAGTAAATCACTGAGCTGATCCTGGACCTGCTCCAGGACTTTCATCTTCACCTTCTACAAGACGACACACAGGAGAAAATGTAGTTTTAGCTTTCTTAACTTAAGCTTACTTTATCCGTTATATATTTTACACACTCTTAAAACATAACTTCATGCTGTATCCTGTTTAGCTTCTGTATTTTCTCGTTCCACATGAGTAAGACAGAGGAGCAAGTGGAGTTATGGATCACCTGTGCATGTTTCTGCCACTGTCTTAGATCTTCCTCTTGTGAATTATCATGGTCTCCAGCTGTGGAGAGAAGAGCATAAGATTATTTCTAACTTTCCTACATGTACTGTGGGAAAGTTAGGAGATAATTGGGAATCCCACATGCTGATGCTGCACATATTTCTGCAATAATCCCACATATAGTGACTTAAATCTGTAGTTGGTAACTTTTATAAAAAATAACATTTTGTCATACTTGCTGAAACTGTCACTACATGCACACAGTAGTACATGAGACAGTCTGTGAAAAATCATGTTGCTCTGCCTCCTCTTAGTGCTGCTAATGGCATTACTGCATGTGAACAAAAGCAACCAGTCAGAGTTGAGGAATCTGTATCGCAGCTGTCAATCATGTCGATCACAGCTCATGAACTGTGGTCAAACTGTAAAACTAGGCAGCGCCTATCAAACATGAATCAAGATTCTGTTAGTTCATTGCCTATTTCTCACCTCAAACATTTCAGAAACATATTTCCGTGTACTGTTTAACTGTAATATGACTGTAAGTTTGTGATCTGGCTGCCATGTTTGATGCAGTTGAGCCAACAACTAAGCACTGCCCACCAGCCGGAGCAAACTTTCTTATTTTACAGCTGAACAGTACACTAAAATATGTCTCTGAAAACATTTTTGGGCACAGTAACACATGAGCAAATACAAAAGTGACCATCGCTTACAGGGTGATAATGGCAAATGGTAAATGGACCTGCACTTGTATACCGCCTTTCTAGTCTTCCAACCACTCAAAGTGCTGTTTACACTATGAGTCACATTCACCCATTCACATACACATTAACACACTGGTGGCCGAGGCTACTACACAAGGTGCCACCTGCTACTCAGTTTTTAATACACTCGTACACCAGTGGAACAGCCACCCAGAGCAAAATTGGGTTCAGTATCTTGCTCAAGGACACTTCAGCATGCAGACTGGAGGAGCTGGGGATTGAACCACTTATCTTCCAATTAGTGGACAATCTGCTCTACCTCCTGAGCCACAGCTGCAGTGCTGGTTGTGACACAAAAAGAAAGCTAAGACTCGACTTTGCTGATCAGAGTTTGCCAAAACTGAACTCTATGCAATGCGAAGATGCCAATTTGAATGTTTTATTCGCCCCTTCGCTCGTACTGAATGGAAGAAAACGGGAGGCAAATATTCACTGGGTGTTAATTTCACTCATGTGTGACTGTACCCTTTGACTGCAGCTCTTGAGCATTGATTGACATGACGGACAGCTTCACTAGAGACTCTTCGTTCCGACTGGTTGTTTTCAATGAGCCGTGGCAAATTCTAGCAAATGCCATAAGGAACACAAAGATTGGGAGGGGGAGCCTCTTCAGGGACTATCACTCTTGTGTATTTCTGTGTGAATGTAGCTGTAGCTTTAAGATACACACAAATTACTTTCATCTTACACTGTCTGTAATAACACAGGTGATAACACAAACAATTGTGAAAAGATGCAATTACCTCTGAACAAAGTGTCATAAGAGAACACAACTCAATAACATAAATGAAAACATTTTCTATAAAAACAAATGAGTATGTAAATGTATCATTGATCATACCCTGACCAGAGACCTCATCTGACTGACGGGCTCTGATGTTTCGGCGCCACAGTCCATTAGGTGGCTCTGCAGTCGTCATGGTTACCACCTTCCCACGCCACAACACTTAGGACAATCTCCTGGGCCGCAGGTGGAAAATCCTGTGCATATCAGAGCTGAAGGTGAGTCTCACACATGTTCATTTGCTTCCCTAAATGCTAGAGATTAAAAACCAATAACGTTTGATATTACATCATGATACGTGACAGATTAATGCTGCCAGGTTCGTATTTGCTCTGTCTAGCCTGCTGTTTGTTGGCCTAATAGGAAGGGGAGAACATAACCGCCCTCGGTGACCCCGTTGACCCCACAACAGTTTGGATCCACACTTGGCTCAGTTCCCGGTTATAAGCTGAGGTAAAGCCATACTGGACTACTGGAGCAGAAACACACTGGTTTATTGCCCTTTAAGGACAGAGACACTCCAGTAAGTGAAGTCATATCAGTTGTTTTCACCCGTTAAAGGACAGAGCTGCAACATACTCAACACATTCAACCCACGGAGGGCAGTGCAGCAAAACTTTTCACTCTACGTGATTTACTGCGGATTTACCCTTTGCTGAGGCTTGACGATGTCGAGACGAGAATCTTCAGCAATAAATTGAGAGATTAAATGAGGTCACCGTCTCGTTGCTGGCAGGTTGCCTCATGCCAAAAACCATTAATATTCCTGATGAGCCTCAGTCCCAAGGAGGTGAGCTTCCTCATGTGAATCCCAAACTGAAAAAGTGCGCAAACTCCTGATCTAAATGCAGAAACATACTGTGGAGTGGGTCAGGGGTTTTTGAACGGTAGTTACCTACAGTGCCTTGCAATAACATGAGTGTTATCACCAGTCGTTGGAGCTCAAGCTCAAAACAATGTAAACAAGTGATAAAGCCGGTCTACCTGTCACACAAGTTCACACTATAGATAACACACACACAGAGGACTGATGGAGAGGTGAAAGACACAGAGTGACCTCATTTACTAATCCATGCTGTTTGATCATTCCTCAGGAGAAACATCAACGCAGCAGCTTTGTACAGATACACAGATTATACATGATGTGGCTGCAGATGATGAGACGACAGAGAAAGAGATCAAAAGGAACATGTTTTTGAGACTTTATGCCATAATTATGCATGTTACTGGGTAAGGTGAGGGTGAAGGATCATGCTCTTATTGGCTTAAGGTCCGGCACTCTGTACGCCCACCATCCTCCCCAGCCACCTCCTTCAGAAGCCTACGTAGCACCTAAGATTCCTGAGGGAGTTTGGTGGAAAATCCTTATGTGATTCTTCATCACCCAGAGACTAACAGCACTGCAAAGAGGCCTACAGAGCCAGGGCTTTTTTTGGAGGCAATGCTGAACCTCACCTGCCAGTGGCGAGAGACTGCAGCTGGGATTCTTAGGATAATTGGGATAGATTTAGTCTACTCATTTGTTATATTATACTTAGGAAAATACATTGTACCTGAAACTGTCCCACACCAAGATGAATATTTATTAAAGATACGTTTGGCAAGTAGCGGGAAAGCCATAACTCGCAAATGGTTACAAGTTGATCCTCCAACATTGGCCCAGTAGCTGGCGATTATAAATGAAATACTGCATGGAAAGACTTATTTTAAGGCTTTAGATGGAAAAATGTACAAAATATTGGGAGAAATGGATTGTGTTTAAATGCCGTTAAGAAAATTGTGACACTGTATGCCAGGATGCAAGTGAAAAATGTCCTGTGATTTGATCTTGTAACACCCATGACAACCTTATGTTCATTGTTTCTTAAATAATTTATCATTTGCCAAAGACTTTCAATTTACTTACTTACTTACTGATTTACATTTAGTTACTGTATGTTATGGGAATTCATAAAATAATCAACTGATTTTATAACTCAAAGTAATCATTCATTCATTGGCATTACATATAATTTGTTTAATTTTTTTATTACATAATTTATTTATGTTTTCACTTATGTATGCTATTATGTTTTGTTTCTCACTATGTATTATATTGTCGGTTGTTAAAAATATAAATAAATATATTAAAAAACAGTCTCTGGGCAAATCCATTTGCTGAGTAAGGCCTCAAGATGTAAATAAAAATGTATAAAAGACAAAAAATATATATAAAAAATAAATAAGCACTCTAAGTTCCATCAGATTGCCCTTTAAAGAGAATTTAGAATATATTTTCAAGGCCTTTAATATTACTGAATCTCATCCGACCTGTTAGAAAAACAGAATGTGGGTGCATCACCTGCAGAGTTATTTTTAAACTTGGGTTGTGAAACTTGGGTTTATGGCTCACCTCCATCTCCACCTCCTTTGGCAGATAAAAGAGCCAAAAAATCCAATTTTGGACAAAGTGGAGGATGCACATGTGGTAATAGCTGAGATCAGAGGTATGATAGCTTCAGGCTCCTCAGTATTTCAGTAACTTAACTCTACCACACGCGTATAAGATGTATACTGTTGATTTTGAGGAGGTTTTAAAACTTGAGGCTGTTGTTATTTTTGATCAATCTTCATCTAACAACAGAGATTGTGACACAGCACTGAGCTGTTTAGGGGGACTGAACAGGTTTGAAATTATGATTATAAGCTTTAATCAGTAAATTAGCACAATAACACCCCTTTCTCAATCACTGCCTCCTTAATTACAGCTTGTTAAACTAACATAATGTAGATGATGACGAACACATCACTATTGCAGATGGATTACTAGGGAAATAAAAGCTATAATGACCCAAATTCATTTAGTCAGTAAAAAAGATCAAAGAAAGGACAAATTTAATCATATTATGCAAATAAGATGTCACAGCCGTATTGAAGCATTAATTAAATAGTTATAATTAATGATGTCGATGAATGTTATCAGTCATTTTGGGATCAAGTGAGGATTGGCTGAGAAACACATCCTCGAGGTTTGTTGTAGGGGAATAAAATGTGTTTGAGGTCATGTTTAACCCTTCGAGTCACTTCCTAATATTTTGTTTTTAGTTGACTGGTTCATTATCTGTAATGACTGTAAGGTCAGTGTTGTTGTATATTCCCCAACATCAATTGATTAAATCACCATTTTCCTTCAGAGCTTTTAATGTCATCAGAGAACAAACACTGAAAAACTGATCAAACAAGTCTATAAACCTAACTCTTATATGTATATAGAAATTCATATATGGGTCAGGGTGTTTACACGTATCTGGCACTTAAATTTAATGGTTTTTAAGACCTTTTTAAGATGCTTTTTAATCAAATTTAAAACTGATTTTTCATCAAATAATCTTTTTCTCATTCAAAGATTTCAGGCAAGTATAAAGGTAAGAAGTATATATGTCGTCAGATGCAGAGGTATGTTTTATATAGGATTATGGCTATTAAAGTTAGGTTTGGTTAATCTACATTGTGTCATCAGGTAAGGGCAAGTATACAGTAAAAGAAAAGTTTAAGGTTCAGTGGTAGGTTTGAAGATTTGTAACATCAGAAATGTGGACTTGACTCATTTTGACATTAATTAAAAATGGATAAATGAAATTACATAAAATGTTTCTGACAATTAAGCCCTCACAAAATCATATTTAGGGCCTAATATTTATTTTTTATAAATATTTATTAAATTGAAGACATCTTGTTTAAGACCTGCACACACCCTGTAAGTTCGCAACTTTTATTTTATCACCCTCTGTTTTCAGTGTCTACATTTACAGAACAAACTACCACTAAACTCCTAAGAATTTTCAGCCATCACTCTGTTCTCCATTTTTGTCGTTTTTAAAACGGAATTGGCTGTGGAATTAAAATCACACAAAAGACAGATGTCAGATACACATCAGGCAGACAAGGGCGACAAACATTTGTCATCGTGTCAGATTTATACTCACACAGTCTTCTAGCCTTGAGCTCAGTGGAGGCAGATTCAATCAAAGACTCCTGCTGAGAGCGAGTTGCTGGAGCGTTTTTAAGTCAGCCTGCGTCACAGGTCTTGTGATCTGTGTCCTCTCCTTTCCTCTGCTGCTATGTTGCACTTTGCCCTTCTGGCTCCTGGCCCTGGGTAGGACAGGTCCTCCCCTTCACCTCCTCCACTGGATGCATTAGGTCATGCAACAAAACAGTGAAGTTTGTCCTGACCTCTCATCTGATCAAAGAGATGGACTTTTATTGCACAATGTATTTATAGCATGTATTTTATTATTGATTTTTTTATGCACTCTCCACCTGGCATAGCTGTAAAAGTAAGGGTTAGGTTCTTTAGGTCAAAGGTTTTCAACAAGAAGTGGGTCAAAAATATAAAATCTAGCTGCTTTTACTCCGCACTTCAAAAGTCACTTCACTTGAATATTTGACCTGTGGAGAACGATGCATCTGCAGAGTATGACAATAGAAGCCTGTCTGCAAATGTTTCTGCTGATGGAGAAAAGTTTTTTCTGTGCTCACCTTAAATCTCAGTTTTGGATGAAAACATACGAGATATCTTGTGTTATTCACAGATTCTGGCTTTTTCAGGGAGGGAGAAGGATAAGATGTAAAAACACAAATTATTATTTAAATCAGAGTATTTCTGTATGTTTTAAAACAATGGTCCAGCCACAGGGTCCATATTTCTTCTTAGTCCTTAGTGCAGGGTCCATACAGTTTAATACATTTAGTGTCATACTTGGGTTTGGCCGTGTTGTCAAGCTAGTTTGCTGTCTCTGCCAAGTAGCTGTCCATTAGTCACTGGCTCTACAGCAGGAAACAGCACTTCAAAGTAAAAGCTTTGCACCTAAGAAACAAGATCACATTTCTCCTGTTTTAGCTTCTCTGCACTGGCTCTCTGTAAAATCCAGAATTGAATTTAAAATCCTACTCCTAACTTACAAAGCTCTAAATGGTCAGGCTCCATCATATCTTAGAGAGCTCATAGTGCCATATTATCCCACCAGAACACTGCGCTCTGAGAACGCAGGGTTACTCGTGGTCCCTAAAGTCTCCAAAAGTAGATCAGGAGCCAGAGCCTTCAGCTATCAGGCTCCTCTCCTGTGGAATCATCTTCCTGTTGTGGTCCGGGAGGCAGACACCATCTCCACATTTAAGACTAGACTTAAGAGTTTCCTTTTTGATAAAGCTTATAGTTAGAGCCGGCTCAGGCTTGTTTTGGACCAGCCCCTAGGTAGGCTGACATAGGCCTAGTATGCTGGGGGACCTCCTTACACCTCCTATAATACACCGAGCACCTTCTCTCCTTCTCTCTCTCTCCTTTGCTAACACTCATGTCCTGTTACTGCAACTCGCTAACTTGGCTCTACTGCATGTCATTAACTCGACTTCTTCTCCAGAGCCTTTGTGCTTCACTGTCTGGCAGGTTACCTCGTATTGCAGCTGTGCCTGGATAGTGTGACATGAAATTCACTGTACTTAAAGAATCAAGTGTATTTTTTACAAACTTGACACATTCCCGAGTCACGTGCGATCCATTCAGAATGGACCCAGGACCCACTTTTGGACGGCTAAGCACCAGTTGCGAACCACTGTTTTAAAACATGTCCAGAGGGGATATTAAAAGATCACCATCCAGTGGAAATAAACACATTTTAAACTCTCCTCTTTGTGCAAACATGTCTCAAAAACATAGCCGTAGCTGATGAGAAAATAAAGTGTGAAACCACTTGTTCATCACAGCATAGTTTGCACCCCATAAAGCCACAGCTTCGACCAAAACCAGCCATGCATGACGAAATGAAGACTAGATGAGCAGACTGATGGCAAAGGTCATTTAACCTGTGGCCAGATAACACCACACAGTGTTTGACACACTTCTAGATACTCAGTGTTCTGTGACACTGTGACACAATTTGATTAAAACATAAGTAAATGCTTTTCACAGTTTGACTAAAAAAAATAACAGGCTGTACAATCAGTTTGCTTTGTGTCCTTGTTCTAAAAACGTGTTTAAATTGGACAGTAGTTTGAACACAGTAAGCTCAAAGCAAATGTAGTGTCAGAGATTACAGGTCACGCTGTACTTAGAAAATCTTTTCTGTCTTTATGTGTCTTTAAGTCTTTATGGGGTGTTTCAGTGAACAGCACGTTAACTAATGAGCCACCTGCATACGAATTTTCCATGGAAATGTATAAGTGGGAAAGTGGTCTCAAATTCAAAATACATAACAGCACATCAGTCTTGATCTTTGTCATTTGTACAAAACTATATGGTTATACCGATTATGCAACTGGATTTTATAAAATCAAAGCCACAGCAGAAAGCAACGTATGAAAGATAAACAAATCCTCCTCTTTGGGAGCTTATTTCAGAGAGTTGACCGAAAATACTCCCCCCTCTGTGTCCTGTGCTGCTCTGCTTATTGATTTGTTTTGGTTGAATGTCCCTGTTGGCTTGTGTTTGTTTTTTTTCTCCTTCTCACAATTCAGAGCCTACAAGTCACAATACACTATACTTACTACATCAAAGAAGAGCACAGAAGAAAAATAGTTTCATATCCAGAGATTATCCTAACACATAAATACTAAATACCTTTACTCTGCTGGTTCTTTATCAACCTGTTAGTATACCTGGATTTATTGATAGCAAACTGTACAATATGCATGTTTTTTTTTCCTTTGGTAAGAAACTGTAGGAGATGAAGGGTTTATATTTTATTCAGAAAAAAAACTCCTGAGCAACAGTAGAAGAAAGAAAAAACTGCAACACAATCCCTGAATATTTTCAAAGGTGTCCTCACTTGAAAGTGTGGTATTTTTCAATCTTAACCATACTTTTCCATGTGTTTGTGGAAAATGGGGAAAAAAAAACATTCTTAAAATTGGTCCAGCATTGAGTGAGTCAGCTGCAGCCGGCAGCCATGAAACAGGTTGTAGTGTAATCCTTCAGGGTGAAGATTCTCAGTCATCCAGGTCTCAGTAATCTTAAGTGCTATATCTTTGGCAACTGGATTTGCTTGAGTTTCTTGAAGACATTTCACCTCTCATCCAAGAGGCTTCTTCAGTTTTTAAGGCTCTTAGAAGAGCGGTGAAATGGCTTCAGGAAACTCAAGCAATGATGTAGCACTTAGGACTTTGAGGCAATGACACACTGTCACTGTTCGTCCACTTAAAGTGCTGTTTTTGCCACTGACAGTCTCTGATTATTATAACAAGTGTCTGATAACATCATAGAAAGGATCCCTATGGAGACAGACCTTTTTGTTAAACAGTAACATCTTGTTTGTTTAACTAGAAACAGCCCCAAATACGCCACTGCCAAACCCACCAGACTCCATTTAAATAAACAGTAACTTTAGTGTGCATAGAACCAGCATATTTCACATCTAAGTGGGTGAACTAAGGGTTTATTTCAATCAAACCAGAGTTGGTGATTGTTGGAACAATGGAAAGATGAACCGCAACAGTTTTCTGCAAGTTTCATTTTGTGTGCTACTATGATTAAATTACTGTTTATTAAATGTAGCTTGGTGGGTTTGACAATGGCAATATCAGGGCTGTTTTTGGTTGAACAAGAAGGATCTTACACTTTATCATAAAGGTCTCTTTAGGGATACTTTCCATAATGTCGTCAGACTCTTAAAGTAACAATCTGAGCCTGTCAGTGGCAAAAACAAGCACTTCTAGTGGATGTAAACTGATGGTTGTGGTTCTACCGCAGTCTGTTTCGCTGTTGCCACCTCATTTAATACTGGTCCAATTTCTAAACACTGTTCAGGTCCAGGTTGAAAAATAGGGACGTTACCCTTTAAGTCAATATATTCATGGCAAACACAACAAACTGGTGAAAATACAGACACTCAATTTCGCATATTAAATTGGAATTTCAGTGTGTCTGTATTTATTTATTTATTTATTTATTGTATAACAGAATCAGCAACATTTGTTTAATGTGCCTCTCTAAAGCGCTTCAGTGGCAAATATCTTACATAATTAGAGCAGCAGCGCAATAAGAAGACAGTGTGATAATGATATGTACACAGGATCATCTTTATTGAAAGGAGTCTCATGAGATAACAGTACTGTTTCTCAGCAGCTACAGAAGAAAGTACTGCATGCACTAAATCACACGCTATAAACAAGCCAACCAACGCACACGTGTACAAACAAACACAGACATTTTGCATCTGTTGTTATTATTTTTTTAAAACCACCTTACCATTCTTGTCATAGTTATATTTCTGCATATTTAGGCTACAGTATCACATATTTTTTACCTTGCCAGAATATTTTTTTTAGTCTGGTTACAATTACTGTCAGACAAACAGAACAATAAGACTGAAAATAAATTCTACACTCAGTCATCCAAACATTTACAGCTCAGTAAACAACCATAGTGCATGTCGGGAGAAATGTTGTTTTCTTTGTGGTTTTCATTGATTTCACAGCAAACTGACCAAAAAAAAGCCATTCACATTCAACACATGGTTTCTATAGGTTATGCAAACACACGCAACTTCGATGATAATGTTTTTCAAGTTCAATAAGCTTTTTTGACCCTTTGGAGAAAGTCCAACTGCGGTGTTAGATACCAAGTGTAAAGTCTTGTGAAGAGGAACAGAGACAGAAAGCACAAAGAAAATAATGTGATAAAGTGCTTCATGCATTTCTGATAAGCCTCAATACAATGAGAAGAGCAGGTCTGTCAGTAATGCTTCAGATTACAGCCCACAATTTATGTATTGTAATCATTTCAGTGAAATACTTACTGGGTAACTATATGGGGAAACATATGGAGGCACAGGGAAGAAGACAAGATGTTAAGGTATAAAGGGGTAACACTTCATGTTTAAGAGGGAAAGCAGGAGTAACAGTGCCAGATAATTTTATAATTAACAGTTTCAGTCATATTTTAAGGAAAAATGTCTAACATTAGCTGGGTCCAGCTTCTTAAATGTGAGAATTTGCTGCTTGTCTTTGTCATTTATGATCGTAAATGTTTTCAGTTCAGTTTTCAGGTTTTAAACTGCTGGTTGGACAAACAAAGTGATTTGTGGATGTCACTTTTGGCTATGGAAAAATTGTGATGAGCATTTTTTATAATTTTTTTACATTTTATGGACAAAATGATTAATTTGATTAATCCTGAAATACCTGGCAGGTTTGTGATGATGGTATATCTGAAAAAAATTTGGTTTGGGAAATTATATTGTGATATTTCAAATACAGAGTAGAACCAGAGGGTTGTCGGTTCAAGTCCCTGTCCAGACCAAATATGAGCATGGACTGGTGGCTGGAGAGGTGCCAGTTTGCCTCCTGGGCACTGCCGAAGTGCTCTTGAGCAAGGCACCAAACCCCCAACTGCTCAACGTGACCGTCCATGGGCCCCCCCCCTCACTCTGACATCTCTCCATTTAATGCAATAGGTCCTGTTTGTGCATGTGTGGGTATTTCAGGCCTGTGTTTGAAAAACAAATGAATTATTGAATTGAATTGAATTAATCTCCTTGGGGATTAATAAAATATATCTTTGTCTTCTTTTATTATTTACTATATGCCGTGCATTATATGTCGATGGGCACTGAAACATATGCCTTACAGCCATTACATCTGTAGCTGTAAAATATTTAGGTGCATGTTTTTAATTTTCCGATAAAATACTGAAGAACAGTAATATTGTTTTGGAATCCGACTGACAATTACAACTTCAACAAAAACAACTGTGGAGCCAAATACATGCATATTCAATCAGAAATAATCTCAACTCTTGAATTTTATTGGACAACAAACAGTATAAAGTACTGTACAGCCTGATGAGCTTTTCTCTCTCTCTTCAGATGTGTGAACTATTAAAGTGTACCATATCATTTATTATAGTCATCCTTATTAAGCTCCTTTTCATATATTTCAAACATTTCTACTGTTTTTACCCTTATAGAGGTGTTTTTTTGGGAGTTTTTATTGGGCATTACTATTCAAATTGAATTGGACTGTACGTTAAGATCCCCTGTCTGTACCAGTGAATTAAATCAGTACTTTAAAGGTGCACGATATGACAAACATGGGGGTTGCTGAGCCGAAGTGGCAGCGATGAACTGCAATGGCCATGCACGCAGTGCTAACACCGTCAACAGTGCTAACAATGGCAACAGTGTTGATTGAGTTAACAGTGTTTTCAACAGTGTTCACTGGAGGGGGGGCAGAGGGTGGACGTTATTTCCGTAACAATGCTAGTTTACCAATGTGGGTCGGGAAGGTTTTATCAGCTTCATATGAGCGCAGTGCAGAGTGGCAGCCATTAGCTAGCCAGCGGGACATGAAAGGAGAGACTTACATGTTCCAACATTGCACACACAGCCAGACCATCTACCAAAACAACAAACAGAGACACTCAGATGTCATATATTGCACTTTTAAGGTCCACCCTAAACACAAATTTGTAACCTTGCACACTTCTTCCCTCATGCATACCCTGTAATACTCCATCAGTATTAAAAAAATATCTAGACTGTAATTTGCAGGCGGTAATCTGAAGTGTTACTGATCTGTTTTCTTAATAGGATTGCAGAAAGTCAAAGAGTGAAAGACCCCGCCAAGAGGATACAGCTCCTGTTCTTTCCCAAAACACACACACACACACATACATAGAGTCCATCCACTGTCACCCTTGACTCTCTCATCCTGACTGGCTGATCAGGAGGTCAACGGGAGTTTGAAGAGCGGCGTGATCATCAGTGTGTGTGTGTTGACAGTCAATCAGATACCTCAGGCTGCACCCAAGTAACACAGTATACGCAATATATCTGTATTTGGGGGGGGTCAAAGATCCAACACCTCATTAGCTGATGAGGTGCGATATCTGTGTGTGTGTGTGTGAGTGTGTGTGTCAGAGGGATAAGACAGGGCTGTATCAGCTGATAACCTACAATAACCCTTGGTATATGCCTCCGTCAGAGCTTATATAGACGTCTTTAAATGACTCACTACAATCAGGGCTTTGGTTTCAATTTGAGGTGGTTCATAAAGAGCCGTAGGATTAGTCCTCTCCTGAACAAATTCATATTGGAACGGCAGCTGCTCACGTGCACGCATTTTCATTCAGTGACAAAACATTGGAAATCTATAACCCAGAACATTCAAAGCACAAAACAAATGCAAACGCTTCACATTCAACAACTGCTGTGAATTAGGAATAAACAGCAAATAAATACATTTAAAATAGAGCAAATGATAAATAATATATATTTCTTTTAAATTAGAACTAGCAGTATAAAAATAGTTGCTACACAATTCTTTTTTTCTTCACTCTGCCATGCTTTTGGCTGACATGACAATGACTGAATGTCTCACAGACGATCCCTGACAGGCAGTTTTTTAGTAGGGATGATTTACAGCTTTAAGTCTCTCTGCTATGACACAGCCAGTCTTTTAAAAACAATCAGCTATCATGTGTTTTACACTTCACTTGGGGCTCAGACAAAGTTTGCTTGTCAGACTGGTTTAAATCAGTGTGAGTCAGACTGATTTTAACCACTGAATATTTGAATGTTTTATTTTAATCAATGCTGTAACCAACTTCCTCTTTTAGCGCTGTGGTTCTTCCTGCACTTGGTGAGATAGTGGCGATACCAGAGCCATCTGAAGCTTTAAGATTGAAAATGTCTTGATGTGAAAGTGTCATCTAAAAGTTGCTAGTTGTTTATAGGTTAAGGGGTTATTTGTTTGACTACTTATCTTAATCTAACAAGAGAGAAACTTTGTCATTGTGGAATGTAAGGATCTGAAATATATCTTCCAAGGGTACCAAAATATAAAACTGTAGTGTCCTGAAGAGTCTTGAGGAGTTAAAGATAGTCCTGTATAAACTTAATTTTTCTTTGCTTAATTTGAGTAAAAAAAAATGTCAAATGTGAGAAATCATCTATTGTCTAAATTAAGGCTTGGCCAAGTTTTAACTGTGGCAGGTGTGTGTGTGTGTGTGTGTGTGTGTGTATTTTAGTTTAGTGTGGTTGGTCTACCTACGTGGCAACAGTAGCCTAGATTTGAGAAAACATTATGGGCTATATTGTTACTATGACTACTGACACTATTTCTAAAAATTCATACAGTATTGTAATTAGCCTGATGTTTTTGGGATGGAAGGGAAACATTTGCAGATTAACAATATTTAATTTAAGTTGAAACTTTCCAGTGTATCACTTTAAGGGTAAAGTCTGGTGATATTCTTTATTTTGTTGTCAACAAAATCCTGCGAAAAGACACAAACCAACAATGCAGGTATGGTATGTAAAACCTGATATATATAGAAGCTTGTTTCTCTGTGCCAGCAACCGCCATTGTTTCCAAAAACACATCAGTGAGTCACACAGCTGCATTGGCTGACACATTTCTTCATTACCATGAATATGGGCACTGCAGTTTATTTTGAGTCGTTCCTCGTTCACCATTCTGCTGCTGTAAAACCCAAGCAGCAACCTGCAGGGCTGAAAAATGAGGCCAATGCAGGAGCATCAAAAACTGCAGTTCCTATAACGGCCACTTGAGGCTGGCTCCAAGAGCGAGTCAATCCCCATAGATCCCCATGCTAAAATGGCCAACTTTACAACAGTCTGGTGCAGAAAACATTTTGGTGTCTATAGCTAGTTTAAACATTGATGACAACTGCGCTGGGGTTAATTTTTATAAATGTTTAAATTTTATTAATGTGGCACGGCCGTGGTGGGTGACACCTGCTGACAAGTTGCCACCATGGTGATAACGTTAGTAAGGTAAGGTAACCATAGTGTAACCCCAGATTCAGAGAGTATAGATGTAACAGTAGATGTCACCATTTCAGTGTGTTTTCAGTCCATGAAAGTTTTGGTCGACCCTCTAAACAGTCGGATGTTCAGTTTTTCTGGTGAGTACATTTTGTATGAATGATTTGGTGGTTGTTTTTCACTGGCAAAATCACTTTTACAACATGGCATTAGCTTTATCACAGTTAACCATAGCTGTAAATGTGCTGTGCTAACCAAGCTAGCAGCTAGCGTTATGGTTATCCCCACCCTTGTGTCCGAATATTCTCACTTCTCATCGCTTCTGGCACCAAAAAAACACAAGATGGCGATGCACATAATACCAAATCCAAAGGCTTCAGAATGGGAGTACATAAACCAATGGATGACATCATGGTGGTTATTTCCATTTTTTTTACCTTCATTCATTCATTTATCTTAACCGCTTATCCTGTTAGGGGTCGTGTGGGCGTTAGAGCCTATCCCAGCCAACACTGGGCGAGAGGTGGTGTACCTGGACAGGTCACCAGAACTAACACAGAGAGAGGCAACTATTGACGCTCACATTCACACCTACAGTCTAACCTGCATGTTTTTGGACTGTGGGAGAAAACCCACACTGACAAGGAGAGAACATGCAGACTCCGCACAGAAGGGCTCCCCCACCCCAGGGTTCGAACTAGAAACCTGTGAGGTGACAATGCAACCTCACTAGCACACCAAATGTGTGTAAATCCTTGGCTGAACATAGTCCCAAACAAATGTGCTGTTTACTCCTGTTATAGAAGTAAAACTGCAGTGTTGTGTTGTTTTGGGGAAATTAGTGAGCAAATGAAACAATATATTCAAGCCCTGTTTTTAAAGATTTATTATACGTTTTCAGTTAAACTGAGAGCCACAGGCAGGCTGATCAAGTCGGGAACACTGAGACAGAGCAACGCATTGTTGGTTTTGGTCTTTTCATAAGATTTGTGGACAATAACAAAAACACTGAATAATGGCAGCCTTATCTTTCAAACACAACACATTTTTAAGACTAATTTCCCCATTTATATTGACTTAGAGTGTAATTTTAGACTGAGACAGTTTCACGGTAATGTTGCCTCCCACGCTTTCTTCCCTCTTTCATTTATTTTCAGAGAAAAGCTGAAGACCAACATCAAAAATCAACATGCAGTCAAAAACATAAATACTAGTACTTAGTTCACTCTGTTTTTATGTTGTTTAACTTGGAGTTTTCCAGTCCATATGTATGTTTATTATTAATAATAATAATAATGATAAAGACTACCCTCATCTTACTGTTGAACGCACTGACATTATGTCCACTGTGATGCCCTCACTGAGACAAACAGCACACCCTAGTGGTTACCTTCAACACTGCACCTTCTTCCCCACCTTTCTATTTGTGGTCCCTTTGTTTTCATGGGGGAAGAGTGTGTAGCAGTATGGGTGTAAGCTGCCAAGTCGGGCATTTGAGATGCAGTGCTTGCCATGGATCGTATAGATACCCACACACACCCCACATCATTGTACACAGGAAGGAGAAGGGACTAAAGAGGAGCAAGCAAGGGGAAGGAGAGAAGGGAGAAAGAGGTCTGTTTACAGCAGGTGAGAGTGAGAGGGGAGGGGGAGGCTGAGTGGACAGTGATCAGCTGCATGCAGATTTACAGAGGAGGCCTCAGAAAAAACGTCTGCCTGGAGAGAGAGAGAGAGAGAGAGAGAGAGAGAGAGAGAAACAGAAAGTAAGAGCAACAGTCAGATACATTTGAGAGAAACAGCGAGAGCGAGACAGCAGCCAGTGAGTCATGCTAACATTGCCAGAAGGAACACGTCTCGAATCATTTTATTTCTGGTGTCTTCACTGGGAGCGAGTTGTGTTTGGGAACTGCATGGAGCACTCTGGGGCCATATTTAGACTTCAAAGGATGTAAAATCCACCAGCACTGTGATAAACTTGCTCTGCAGAGAACTTCATGTCAGCTTATGGAGCTATATTTCACCATGTAACACTTACAAAGCAGTCTTCAGTCTACAGGTTGAGTGTTAGACAAAGTGTCAGCACATTACTAGTCGGAAAGTAGAAAATATTATGGTAAGAATTAAATTAAATTTTCTAAGTATCTAATTCAAGCCGATACCTTCTGTTGTTCCTGTGAGGGTGTGCTGAATAATATGAACTTGAACACATGAAAAAGGAAAACTGAATGAAGCCCGTGACAGCAAAAGTAGTGGCACGAAGCAAAAACCCAGATGCAGTGATAATTTAATTCCCCTTTCCCATATGGGTCCTCCCCAGAGAAATATTTTTATAACACTGTATAATCTTTAACCCTCGGGTGGGATTTAGGAAGTAATTCAAAAGAGAGTGCTGATCCGAGACAGATGCTGTTTGGTGGGTATTTCAGTGCAAAGTGTCTCGCAGTGTACTCAGTGAGTGTTGGTATTTTTAGTATGAGAGCCCAAAAAAAAAAAACAAAAAAAAAAACCTCCCTTCACCCTGGCAGCTGACAAGGCTCCTGCTGTAGACTCCGCACTGCACCTGAGGGCCGAGACCCAATAACCTCGAAAGTCATGGTGATGTTTCACATGGCAGAGTCTGCTCCAAACCCAATATATCCATAGGAACAAAAGGTTCCATTTCATTTTGTGTTTCAATAATCAAAACAAAGGCTTGCTGCAAACCACGCATTAGCATGCAAGGGAGCTCTGTCAAACTCACAAATGTATCTGCAATTTGTAAAGCAACAATAGACCTTTTTTCACAGCAGACATTTTAACTTGTCATGGAATGAAAAGCACAGGTTAAAATTTATAACATTAACAATGGCTCAGCTCCAATTAATTGCCCCAGAAAGCTATTCAAGCAAGCCCACATGCACAATACCAGGTCTCCCCTAAGTGGAATGAAGCTATGAATAATGTTTTAGAATACACCTGTGCTTCCCCTACTATGGCATGTCAAAATATGTGCTGTGAAAAAGGCCTATTATGTGTGTGATTTGAAGTTGCCATCATTAGCAATCTTTGTGTAACCCAGTAGTTCTCAAACTGTGGGGGAAAGGAGACGCTGCAGATGGGGCGTGGATGACCAGGGGAGTTGAATGAATATGATTAGGGAAAATAAATAAATAAGAGTTTGCTGCTGCTATCATGCTGATCTTTACTTGCTAAAAATCCAACATGGATCTTTTGTCTTTGTTGCTTTCCAAATTATTGTTGAAAATGTTTGAGAACCGCTGGTGTAAGCAGTGACATAAACAGGAATATAAATTATGCAAATGTGTTTTTTAAGACTGTAAAAGCAGACGTATGTAGCATTGAAGCTCAGCATCATATTCATTGTTTTATGACATTCACTTTAGTTGTCTCAAAGTCACAACATTTAACTCAACTCCCCCTCACCATTTGGTTATTATGCACGCAAGTCCGTAAGTTCAGTTGAAACAACTCAAACGGAGCAATTAAAGGAGGAAAGCCGTGCATGCAGCGTCAAGGCTCCTGGTTTTTAAAGACGGCGCCTATTCTTTATGTTTTCTATAGTGCACCTGACAGTTCCTCTGCTTAGCGGCTTTGCTGCTGTGCTTTCTCTTTTCAGGGCTGCAGACCTGATTGTTATCAGCAGCACGGAACAAACCTGGGCCCGGTGTGCCCCCATAAACAGCCAGTCTGGGCTGGCAGTTCTCCACACATCTTTGCTTTGTGCCTTTTGGAGTCTTTTTCTTGTTTTTACAGCACACCATATTTTTCACTTATTCACACCCTGCTTCTGACTTCACAGATTCCCTATCGGTGGTTATTATTTTGGTTAATAAATCACTGTATTTGTTAGTCAATATGTGTGTCTCCAGTTTTTTAGTCTTAGAGCCAGGCTGTGACGTGTAATGCTAGCAGATCAGGTGGATTTTTCCGATGCTACAGTATGTCAAAACTATTCTGAACTGACTCTGTGGAGTACATCTTAACTGTTAATTGGTTGTTTGGTTAATCTTGAGATTTTTAACGACTCACTGATTCATGAACGTGTGTTCTGTAGCGCATAAAATGAAGAGCTACTCTGTTCTTCTGTGTACTTACCTGCTCATGACTATTAGCTAGCTGAGGCCTCGGGCTGCAGGCTGTAGAGTTTGGCTGGGTCCTGATTGTCGCAGACATCATTTCTGGACACAGAATTCACATTCAGACACATGCTACCCAAACACACCAGAATCACAGGCAACCGCAGCACCATCGCCATCACCATCACCAAGTTCATCAGCAGCAGCAGCAGCAGCAGCATCATCCGCAGCAGCAGCAGTACCAGTAGCAGGAGGAGCAGGAGCAGGAGGAGGAGGAGTAGCAGTAGCAGTGACAGCAACAAGGGGGCAGCGACGGAGCAGAGAGACAAAGCAGTGAGGGAAGCACATCAATGATGTTATAGTAATTGGTCTTAAAGCACAGGGGGGGATTAGCTAGTGCATGCAAAGTGAATGTGGTAGTGCCGTACTTAAACACGTTCTTTGCTCATAAATGGCCATTATCAAACATGCTGGAGATATTCTGTTAGTTACTTCAAGCTGCCCTATGAGTTCTGACACTGACAGCTTATTATGTCCAGTTAAAAGAAAATATTTCAGGACCTTCACTTGAGGCTGAACTGTTGTTGGCCCACCATAGAAGGTCCAAAATGAACCCCAATATTTAATAGCTTCTACAAAATGCTTCTTAAGTTACATTATTGAGGTTTCTGCTCGACAGTGACAACATAAAAGTCTGCAGTAACAGATAGCAGAGGGTGTTGTGCAGCAGTCAAAGAGGGTGCAGCAGTCTTACCTGTTGTCATTGATATCTGTGGTGTTTCCTGTGGACAGAAAGAGGTGCATGAGGAGGCAGGCAGGTGCACGGTGAGAGGGTTGGTGGTGTGTAAATTAGGGAAAAAGTGGGTTTGTCACAGACACACAAGGGTTTTAATTGGAACAGCCCAAAGCCATTGGAGATAGATGACTTTGGAACAAGCAGCTGCATAATGTCCTCATACACAAATGACTGAGTAGAGTGTTTGTCAGTGCATTTCAAAATGAACCATATGTTCATTTTACTGATCTTTCGACCCAATCAGCTAGGTGAGGACACAGAAACAGCACATTTTAGAAGTTTATCCAACTAGAGTCTTCGCATCATTGAAACAATCCACCACCTACTCCTCTTCTCAGCAGTAGGAGAACATATGCCACTAAACATGGACATCAATTTCACGCTGTTTGAACAAATGACCAATGTTGTTGTTATTCTGGAGAGGTTTTTATTTGCATGACTACCGGAGCTCACTTGCCAGGAAAATGTAAACATGAGTCATTTTACACTGTTTGAACAAACAGCCAAATTCTGTCATTCCTCTGATGGTGACACTATTACGGTGCTACTAGTACAACTAATAATAACAATGACAAAGTGCCACAAGTTTTACGAGAAAGTTCCCCACCCAGAGAGATTCAATCATTGTATAAAACTGTACTTGCAAGTGGACTGACAGTGGACCACAGAGCAGCACTTGTGTGTGGAAAAAAATGCAACTTTATGATCAGTGGTGGCCCCAGAAATTTTGGTTCACCAAAACCAAAAGCTACAGTATAACTGAATTTCAGGAATTCTGTTATGCTGTTAAGATGTATACTGGTGTTCTTTGGCTTATTATTTTACAGTTATTGTTACTAATTATCTGATATGCATGGACTAATACTGGTACAGTTAACACTTTGAGTTCCGCGGCAATCCTGGTTTAATATGTTATATAAATGTGTTAGGGGATTCATTGTTTCTCAAATAGGCTGGTTGTCCTTTTTCTTAAAAAGACAAATGTCCAGCTATAATCTGAGGGTGTACATTGACTTTAAGAACAAGACATTAGCTGGGAACAAGCCATCTCAAGTTAAGGGGAGACTTGTGGGTATCCACAGAACCAATTTTCAGATATCCTGAGGTGAGAGTTTAAGGGACCCCTTTGAAAATGGCCATGACAGGTGTTATCTGGACAAAATTTAGCCTTACTTTGGAGCTTTATTTAGCCCCTCTTTCTAACAGGCTACGCCAGCATGGTTGGTACCAATTTATGCCTTAGGTTGTCCAGTTTCACAAGATACCACTACCTTTGTGCTAGCTTAAAACTGAGCATGTCACGGCCACAGACATTAATGTTGGCCTCCAATTACTTTCACCAGGGGTGAAGTAGGGGGGCCAGCAAGTGTATCAGAGTGCTCCCTCTCCTTGGGGGCACCACGGTTTATAATGGCTCTATTTGTAGTTCCTGGATCATTGTTACATTACAAGCCTGTTTCTGTTCAGCTACCTTCTAACCTACAGATCTACATCCTTTAAAAAAGTATGGGAAGTCGTTGTCTTCACTCCCAAGACTTATTCTTGCTAACTGTTCCTAAAATCTGTAGTAAACTGGAAAAAAGGGTGTTAAAGTATGCTGATGTTATGTGTGCACCTGTCTTATTTGTGCTGCTGCCTGTCTTGGCCAAGACATTCTTGAAAAATATATATTTTTTCTCAACAAGTCTTTTACTCTCAGTTAAAAAAATAAATAAAACACTTTGTGGATTATCTCCATTAAACAGGTGTTTAATGGCAAATGTCAAAAATCCTCCAGTTCATAGCAGCTTCTGTAGAAGTACGACCCTTAAAGGCCTGTGCTTTCCATGAAATACCCTGACAGGGATTAATCTCACGAAATATTTCCCTGGCTTTTTATGTGACACAACATGCTGATACCCAGACATGGAAGGCGTTTCTCAATCACAAACTGAGAAGTCTGTGTGCACTCATTGTCATTCATGGAGGAAAGATGACTTAATTTGTGTGCTTCAATTTGATGAGTTGGCTATTATCAAGGAGCCTCATGCTTGACTGGATTATAAAGCTGCTTAATATAATCTCTGTGAAAAAAATAAGGTCTGACAGTTAATAAAAATCTTATCCTAACAGGAAGTGTCAAGGCTACACCTCAACCAACTCAAAATACAGAAAAAAAGGTAAGGTAAATTTGAAGTAAAGGCCTTGCAGAGCGATTTGGCTTCAAGTTTTATACTTCCCCATAAGCTCTTATTGAAATTCATGACACTGAGTAGAATTATAGCACAGAGTGAACATTACCAGGTAGGGACCAGAAGGAAATTTCGCTCAGAGTTTGACTTCAGAATACATTACAGTGTACAAGCACTTTCATTCCAAAAACGCCATATGTCCATTTTAAATGTACTAAATAAAATATGGAAAACAAAATAAAACACATTTAAAAAAAGCTGCACACTAATTACACCTTAAACAGTGCAAATATTTACAATCTCTTGATTCATTGCATCTGAACAGCTGCCAGTGTTGAGTATCTTTTATGCTAAGAAGAGATAAATATCAGAGTTATTTCCAGAATATTCTTTTTGGCAGTGATGAAAACCCCTCAAACAGCACCATGTGAACCAAAAACTAAATCCTGGTAAGGGTTCACTGGATAACATCACGGTTATCTGTATTTAACAGAAGGCAGGTGCCGTTGCGGCTGATTGATATATTGGCTCTAAACCCAGTTTCTGACTTTTATTGATATTCCTGGAGAATCGAAGAGGTGTGGTGTTGTTACACAACTCTACAGCTGTCATCACTGGGTCAGAGGCTGAGGTGGGCACTCAGCCTGTCTGGCTGGCTATCTGTCTGGCTGAGTAATGACACTGCAAGCCTAATCTATCTCCCCTGGAGTCTGCTGATGAGAGCAGACACAAACACACACTCACACACTAACATGAAGATGCAGAGAGGCCTCAGCAGCAGTAACCTGTAATAAACTAAGATAGTTTCTTTAATGTGTTTTTAAAAATGAGCCTGTATCCCATAAATATATGGAAATTTTATCCAAAGACTGTTGACCTGTGCTGAAACCCACCAATGGCTCTCGATTACACTTATGACTGCTGACTCCGAGCCCATTACAAGGAGATGAAAGCAGACCAAAAAAAGGAACAGCGGGCTGAATTGTTATCATAGCGGCAGGGCAATCACTGTAAACTGGTTTAACAGCCGCCACTGCGTATGAGTATATAAAACAGCATTCAGACATAATGACTGGTATGATAGCATAATGGCAACCACTAAAATATAAGAGGTCATAATAAGAGGTGAATTTACCCCCGCTGATCTTGATCATAACATTACCCATAATTCTAAGAGGCGTCATGTGAACAGGGCTCACCATTTTCTGAATCAAGCATCTCTGCGGTGCTCTTGTCTGTTTGGCTCGGCGGTTCAGCTGGAGGCCTGAAAACAAGGAGACAGAAATGTTTATGTAAATGTAACTGCGGGATTTGTGTTTCACAAAATCGATCCCTTGATCGATATGGTCTTTGAGTTTAATGAAACAGGAGTAAAAAATTGAAAAGTAAGCGTACCCAAGTGCTCACTCAGCCTCTCAATAATCAATCAATGTCAAAACAGATTAAAACTGAAGGCTTGTGTTGTACAAAAACAATAAACTATGAAAGCTGTATTGTTTCAAAGCGGTATGCTATAATTAGGCACATAAATTATTTACAGATACTGTGAATGAGTTTTAGTAAGAGATAAATTAACTTTACACGAACAACTGCACTGCGATTGAATGCTCTGGAAAACAGGGATTTTTTGCTGCAATACTGCGAGTGGCCACTGGGAAAGATTGGCTGCAAGGCTGAGCAGCTTTTCCGGGAGCCTGCTTTGTACTACCTTCACATTGCAAGTAGACCAGAACCATGTGCATGGCTCTGTAGTAGATGAGTATGCCTTTTTGTTTTGTTTTTTTCTGGTGTGTCACGTTCGGCGTCATGGACAGGCTGGAAAACAGGGTTAGTAAACAGTAGAAAGCAGCATGGAGGCCAGTGAAAATGGTATGTTGGTTTCTTCTTTTTTATATCTCTTAATTATCCAGTCTCTATTCCAAACTTGCTGCAGTGTATTGTGTATTAATGATACTCGTTACCTGGAGAGGTTGGAAAAAGATATGCGTTTCTTCCCTGTTCCAAAACCAAAATCAGACCCTGAAAAGTGTAGGGTTAGCTAGCTAGCTTGCAGCAGAGGTCTGACAGCACAGGGGAAGCCAAACACTGCTCATCTGCACACACTGTGATGCCACACAGCTGGTTCAATATCAGCAAAGTTTCCCTTTATATTCATTGTCTTGTGTGGCGATCAGCAGTGATGTGGTGGTTCACTTTTACACTGTGATCTGTAGCCTATAGTTCGGCTTTAGCTTCTAACTATCTTTGTCTTTTTAGCCTGTTGTTGCTGCTGAGTCAGTTTGACATCCTGGATATATCCTTCAAACACAGACTGTAGACCCCTCTGTCTGCTTCTCTCTGGAATCACTGTTTCATATCATATGTTTTCAGGGAGCGCAGTCAGTTACAGTGTGGGCTCTGTGCTTACTCTGAAAGCCTGTTGGACCATCATAAAGGGGCGGGGCTTAGTGCAGGGTCACAATGTTTGAGAGCTGCTTGGACTTAGCAGACAGTATTTTGTGGTGACACCTCATTGGATCTCGCTGGCAAAGGGGCTTAAATTAGTGTGCTCACTCAGGTATTGTATTTCAATCACTACCAATCAGAGCCAGAGCCCATGCCTACTGCAGAGTCATTTGACCCAGGTGTCAATGGCGATTGTAACCTTTCCCATTACACACAAAATGGGTTTTTGTGCAGCAGGAAAGGGGCTTCAGAGTATTATATTCCAAGGTAAACAAAGTGAGATGTGGCTAAAGGCATCTGAAAAAACACTGGACCGTGATACAAGAATAATGTGTCAAACTATTATGTACAGCCTGAAAATTTGAGATGCAGTTCACAGCACAGAAAAGAGCTAGTAAGTGGACCTTGAGTCAAAAACATTTTGCCAAATTACTCTTCCAAAGGTCAAGAAACTGAGATGTGTTGGAAAGCACTGTGAAACAATACTGAGTGGATGTTGAATTAAAGTAAAGAAGATTTACATTTATAAAAAAGGTCCTTTAAATCACAATCTATCACCAAATGAGGTACTGTAACACAGTGGCCCACTGATGAAAGCCCTTGCATTTGCAGTACAACTGCAGCACCCATTCTAAACCTGCCTGTTCAGAAGAGAAACTATAATTGCTTGGCCTGTGGTATTGCTGCTTGCAGCTTTCTCGGGAACCACTCATCCAAGCAGCTTCACACTCAACACTGTGCTTCTTTAGGTCTAGAGAAACACACCTGGACACAAACAGCTATAGATTCATTATGGTGTTGAGATATAACAATTGAATTATGTTGCTATTCTTACTCACTGTACCCCAAAATGACATACAAAAGGCAGCCAAAACACTTTACAAAATGCAATCAATGGTATACTACTTACGTTCTGTGGACTTCTACTTCTACCTCAGAAGAAAACATTATTCTATTACATTTACCTGACGGAGACTTGTTACTGATTACACTGCAAATTCAGATTTTACGTACAACATTTAACAATCACGAGATGATGTTTTATTATTTATTAAACTATCCAGCATTATATTAGAATTGAAAGCTCCATCTTAAACAGATGTTAAGTCAATTTAAGTGTGCCTTCCTTTATCCCTTCTTATTATTCTCCTCCTGCCCAATGCTTTATGCATCCCTGAAAACATGCATTACATTTTTTATAACATTTTGCTTATAAGCTATTGATCCAGGAAGTTCAACTCCGTGAATATTTTTCCAACTGCAACAAACTGCTTTAGGCGGCAGCTGACCCCTCTTCTCGGTACTGTGCACCGGCTCTGAATCTTTTTGCAGTACTGAGCACTGGACCGTACAGGTCTTCTTTCCTCCCTGGTTATAAGTTAATATGCCACCAAGAAGCTACTTGCAGTCAGATATGCTGAGATATACATGGTGAGACATGTCATGCTTAACTCACAGTCTCCTTTCCGCAGAACCCTGAGGTCCCACCCCTGCCACTGCACAGAGTCACAGAGTGCTGTTTATTCAAGGTTTATTAATATTGACCGTGTCACCCGTCGAAATTGCATCAAATTCAAAATGGCACATCCTTGGGTTCCCAGAAGTGCCAAGTGTGAAGTAGATTGGATGAACGGTTCTCATGATATGCAAAGGGCACACGGACAGACAGACAGAGGTTCCTTGCGATATATTTATATTTAGATGACAAACTGGGTGTCTGTGACGACATTCCCGCAAAAATCACAATCAGCACAGTCATTTAATCTGCTCTGACAAACACCAAACACACACACACACACGCACGCACACCACCTTTCAGCTCGCCAGCTGCAGGTCTCATAAAACCAGCTGATATAAATAAAATTCACCAGCTTCATTTCAACAGACAAACTCTCTGCAATTACTGTTTATCGCCGTCGTTGCCAAGAAACAGAGAACGAAACAGAGATCTTAGAGGCTGTAACTTTAGGAAACGTTTGTCATCCCACTATTTTCAAGATAAAGATATATCCCTTTTCAATGCATGGCTGGCCAAAATATACCCGGACAGGACTGATTCTTGCAACAAGTGTAAAAGTTCACCTGTTGACAATGTACACATGTTCCTGAGGTTTGGGCAGCTATATTTGAGACAATTAGCGATGTACTGGGTAAAACAGTGAACCTTAACCCCCTCACTGCCCTCTTCAGAATCTCCTCTGTGCCCACTATGCCCAAGACTGCACAACAAGTCCTTGCTTTTACCTCCATACTCAAAAGGAGACTCATTCTCTTTGTCGTCTCCACCACCAAACTTTGCTGCAAGTCATGTCCTCTCTCCCCCTTTCAACTGTCATGTCAAATAAAAGCATAAGCCAAAAAAGAAAAAGTGGAATGTGGTTGAAAGCACCACAAAAAGCTAAGTTGACCTGCAGTTAAGAGAGTCCATTTTGTTCAAAGTTTTTGGCAATGATAATCACCTCCATGATGATAAATGGCACATTCTACCACATGGAACTGTGTTTACTCACATGTTGTCCTGAGCGTCGTTGTCATGTGAGTCGTTGCTTTGGGGGTCGAGGTGTTTGGAGGGGCTGTTATGGTTGGAGTTGTCCTCTGGTAGTCTGGGCTCTGGACTCCCTGGTGTTGTGGGAGAATCGGAAGCAGCCGCCTGTTGCTGGTTGTTGCTGTTGTTGTGGAAATCGGCTTTGCAGAAGGGAAGAGGGTGATCACTGTAGCCTCTGATGAAGAACGGGTTGGTGGGAGAGCACACTGGATAGTGGCCAGCACGCACAGGCTTGGCTGTTCGTGATAAAGCAGAATTGATGTATTGATCGATCCATTCATCCAGAAAAGACAAAAACATCACATTTACACAGCCCTCTGGGGATAAGGCTGCGCTGTCATCTGTAGCACAGGTTGATACATTTTAATGGGACTGGAATACTGAGAATATATTAAAGTCCAACTGAAATTAAAATGCTTTAATAGGGTAAAAAAGAATCTTTATTTTCCACCAGGGTGGAAATTTGTCTTTGACTCATCAAACAACAACATGCAGATGAGCAGTTAGTAAAACAAACATATAGACAAGGTCATTCAAAACAAATCATGTCTGTCTGTGGCTTAAATCAGTCACTTTGTTGTGAATACTGATGCCACCTGGGATGAAGGACTTCTCAAATATATTTTTTACATTTTTTTGACAGAGGGATCTACTGTATAGTGCTGCCCAGAGTTCAAGAGCTCAAACTGGCTGAATCTGCCAGGATACTCCTCGCTTTCCTTTCCCTTCTCATCCTGTCTGTAAAGAGTTGGGTCAAAGGCTTTTGGGGTTTGCCAACTATTTTGCTTACCGCTGACACAATCCTGGAGAGTTTATTCTTAGTTCTACAGTTTAGGGACCGTACCAGGCACAAAAGTGAAAAGTTAAGACATTCTCAACCATAGTTTTGTACACAAGTTCTAAAATCTGCTGACTAACAGCGAAGCCACAAAGTTTCCTAAGAAAACAGAGTCACTGTGAGCATCTTTTTAAATATACTCTGTATTTCCAGAGAAGCTTACCCAAGAGTCAAGAAGTGTACTAAGGTATTTAAAGATTTCCACCTTTTCAACTGTTGGCTGTCAAGTGAAAGTGGCTCTGTTTTTAGATCTTGCTTTGTGCAAATGATTATTTTTGTCTTGGCCACATTCATTTCAAGCTGGCAAATGCAACACTGTGTTTGTTAATATGGGCCACATAGGCAGCTTCACCTAATGGGTCTGTGTTCCATACAAGGCCACTACTAGGGCCGCGTCATCAGCGTATTTAGACAATCTGAAATGACGCCCCTCTCACTGTCTTGGAGGATGTTCCTGCCAACCTCATCAGGCATTTGGCTGACATGGGAGGGTCATCGCCTTGATTAAGCTCACCTGTGCCTTCAAGGCTATAAAAGCTGACTCATGTTTTCACTCACTCGCTCCCTTCCTACAGCAGACGTCCACCCTGCATCATTGCTTTTTGGTTTTGCACCTTCAACACCTCTGCAGCACACCTAACACACATCCACACATGGCTGTCATTACTGGCTTTGCCGACCTACATGCTCCATTATTATCCAATCTTATTTTAATAAATTCTGGTTGTTTTAATTAAATCTACTGTGTGGACTCCCTACTTTTCACATTCACTGAACCAGTTTGTGACAGTCAAACATTCATCGGTAAAAAGAAAGATGCCTTTTTTTGGGGTCTACTACAGCATACAGTACATTTCTGCTCTGTGATTCACCAGTCCTGTGCTCGTCTTTGAGACAAAACCAGAAACCAAAAAGGAAAGAAATTATATCTTTTGATTTCATAATAGTTTTGCATTAACTTGGCAGAATTAGCCAATCAAATCTTGCCGAAAGCAGTAAAGTCTCCGTTCTATCAGCCTGCGACACAACACGAGCTTTCCTGCCAAAGCCTCCTTCTGATCTAACAAACAAACATGAACACATGTCTTGTCCTGCAGCACTAACAACATGCCGTCTGCCCATGACATGCAGGCTACAGCACAACTGTGTGTGCTTTGTCTCTCGCTCACTACGCTGTTACACTGACACTCTGGCAGCCAGCCAGCTCTGTCAATCAAATACAGACACCGACATGTCCCTCCAGCCAGCTGAGAGGAAAAGGAGCATTTTTATTTTGCCAGAAACCCTTTTCCTTCCCTCTAATAATAAAAACTCTTAACAATACATTAAAAAACAAAAAAGGGTGACGAAATGCGATTTCAGTCGGACTTTAACATAAACCACCATATCAGTTATTCTCAGTCGCTGTCGTATAATCCTCAAATAAAAATCATTTATATAAAAAAAACCCTGAAATCAATAGCTCATTTTATAACGGCAGCAAATGCTCCTCTTATTTATTTCACACATAATTCAAATGCATGAATGCAATTATCTTCAATTGACACAGTGATGAAGAAAGTCTTGGTGATCAAAATGGATTATACAGCTTTTCTAATTAACTGTATTTCTCTAAGAAGACCACATTGTGTAAATCCTTATATAGAAAATATTCAAGCCAATCATCACAGCTATTCAAGGACTTCAAAGAACCGATACACGTAAAATTTCAAGCAGTCCTCAAACATATCTGTGTGTTTCACAGTGGTGAACCAGAGTCTCTGGTCTTTCAGTCCCTGAAAATGGAACAAGACTGATGCTAAAAAACTAATCTCGCATCTCACTCATGCATGAACAGGAGGTGTATGAATATGTGGTGTTCTGGTAAGAGGAAGGAAGGGGAAAGATGAAAAATAATGCAAATCCAACAATGAGTGTTGCCTGTGAGGAAATCGCACCATGCCAAATGATTTTTTTTTCATGTTGGACTGCAAAAGGCAAATATCAGATACTGTAAGAAGCAGAAGAACTGGTGTGGCCAGAGAGATAAGATTGTGTAGCCTACAACCTCAGCTGTAAAGTGGTGGAGGATTTACATTTTACAAGTTTAATTTCTACAGTAGCTCTTGTTTTCATCTACATAAATCTTAACAGAATACTGAGACATCTGTTGTTATTCTACCCTCTGTTTTTAATCTCAGAGACAGAGCTACTGGAGAGGCTGCCACTCACGTCGGCAGCATCTAGAATATCCCTTGGGATTAATAAAGTATCTATCTATCTATCTATCTATCTATCTATCTAGGATTCATACCAAGAGGAAAAACACTGGCATGAATTTGATCATTAAAGGGAAATTTCAGTTTCAATTTCAATTTCAGTTTCGAAATTTCGAGGACGAGAGGGGAGGAATGGCTGCTGGAAGGCTTTAGCTCTGGAGATTGGTGGTGTAACGTTACCTGTGAATGCTGTACCCCATTGCCCACAGAAGAGGAATACCTCTGTTGCAAGGAATGGGACCGGTTGCAGCCTTAGCTAAATGGTAAACAACAAACATGGCAGCACCCCGGTAAGGTAAGACAACACGTTTACATGTCGTTTTCTATATGTTCTCTGACATTTATCCTAACGATATGAGGCGGTCTTTGTGGAGAAAAAGCTTGTTTAGTGGACTAACTTTGCACTTGAAAGGATGCCCGTTCACTTACGTTTTAACAGGTCTGACGCTATGGCTGTATCTAGGCTAACGGCTAACATGCTAACTATTATTTCTATGTCACTAGTAACTTAAAACAAATTTAGGACGATAGGAGACAGGTTGAAATAAACTGAAATTTTCCTTTAAGTTGGCTGCAGAGATTAGTCTAATTTGTCTAATTAGAATGAGACATTAACAAATGGTAAAAATAATTTATACAGCACTTATCTAGTCATAGTGACAACTCAAATGGCTTTACAGCACAAGCGCTATTCAGCCAGTAACACAAAGAACACCACACAACCACCTGCTCATCAAATAATCATTCACATGCACATCGATGGCACCGCCATTGGGACCAATTTGGGGCTCAGTATCTTGTTCAAGGACGCTCTGACATGTAGAATGCAGGGCCAGGGATCCAACCACCGACCTTCTGATTGATAGACAACCGCTCGATCTCCTGCACCACAGCTGTCCCTAAATAACAAGCACGAATTTGCGATAGCTGTGACACATTGCCCCTTTTTGCAAGTTGGCATGAACAGTTAATTAGCTGTCCTCCTCATGACCAATCTTTCCACAAAATCTTGGACAAGTCTGTGAAACCATTAGGAAGTTATGCACCTGTTTCACAGTAGGCCACTCCCATTGCCCCTCCCCTTCAGACCCAACTGGCATAAACACAAACGCACACCTTCACACACTTCACCTCCATTGCCACTGTTCAGTTTCCCAGGGCAAAAACTGTGACTGGGGAATTTTTTGTGGAGCGACCAACCTACAGAGTGAGCTCTAGAGCTGCTGATTGTAGCTAAAAATAAATGAATTAAGTTAGATTTAAATGAAAAAATAAAGTGACAGGAAATCAGTGGACTCAGTCATATCGACACATTTCCTCAGGCATGTACCGTCTCTGTTTTGCCAATGAGGAAAAGCAATTGAGATGCACTGGTTGATGAATTTATTTCATTTCAGCACATAAGCTGGGATTATTTGCAGGTGTTGTGCTGCACACAAATTACTGTGGTGATTACACTTATGGTTTTGAGAACTACTCAAAAATGTACTTAAGCAAATGAGAAAAACTGTATATGACTCTGCATAAACCTAAATGAAAGAGCTTGTAGACATTAAAACAGTTGTGTGTGTGATTTGATTGCGTACTGAATTAGATTACACCGCGTTCCAAATTATTATGCAAATGATATTTTTCTCTGATTTTCCTAAATAGTCGATGCAAATGACAGTCAACATAATTTTCAAGTCATCAACTGTTAAAGTTTAATTCAAATGTTATTGAACAAACCTCCCAATGAAAACAGTATTTTTTTCAAAAATAAAAAACTTAAAATGCACTGTTCCAAATTATTATGCACAACAGAGTTTCAACACATTTTCTAGGTTGTAAAGAACTGAAAATAGTCATTTGTTGAATTTGCAGCATTAGGAGGTCATATTTACTGAAATCAAAAGCTATTTCAATCAAAAACATCTTAACAGGTCAAGTTACATTTTAACATAGGACCCCTTATTTGATAGCAGCTTCACAATTCTTGCATCCATTGAACTTGTGAGTTTTTGGAGAGTTTCTGCTTGAATTTCTTTGCAGGATGTCAGAATAGCCTCCC